AAAAAACCTTCTCTCCAAAATGTGAAACTAATTCAAGAACTTGTGTATATTTGGAGAAAAAGAACAAAGAAAAGGCTGTTAAAAGCATTCTATCTCTGCACTCTCATAAACAATTATAGCTGCTTTGTTCCCGGTACTTAGAGATTCACTTCCACACAGAAAGCCCATATTCTTATCTTTAGCTACCACAGTATACATGTCAGATTAAATAATACTACTTATACTTCAGCGATAGTATCAAGGTGTTACTGTATTGTATCTCCCATACTATATCCGTTGGTTGTGATGTTGTTTTTTTACATCTCTCTTTGCAGATGATGATCTCCCGTTTTATCTCCTCTTTTTTTCATCTTTTCTCCTTTTTCTTGTTTTTCCTTCACTGTTCTACTTACATTGCAGTGTCCATACAATCTGTTATACTCCCTACAGGAATTATAATAAAGATATTTATATGCATAAATCAAGTGGAACACTATGGCGATAGCTGTACTGCTCCACTTGTGAAAGCAAAAAGCTGTTGGGCTCTCTTTTTGGCATCAAGACAATTATTCCTATTGCCACATTGCAAGACAGGACACTGTAAAAGAAAAAATATCTATCTATCTATCTATCTATCTATCTATCTATCTATCTATCTATCTATCTATCTATCTGAATGTTTTGGCATAAACTTACAGTTAATCATTCATACTTTTCAATCTCAGTAAAATAAGTGTCAGGCACTTAATAGTACAAAAATGCAGATTTGGATTAGATACCTAAGCTCTTATTCTTGAGAGTCTCTTTGCTGTAATCTATACAATGAATTAGGGCTGCAACTAATTTATTAATCTGTCGATTATTTTTTTCGATTAATCGATTAGTAATTGGACAGCCATAGGATCTTTAAATAAGACTTTTTACGAAATCAAACCAGGTGAGGAGTTGTGGATAGAGTATATTGACAGATTAAAAAGTTTTTAAAAGATTAAAAAGTTTAAAAAGTTTGCAAAATGTTTTACATATTTTTTTCACGATTTTGGTATAATTACTGCTCTAAGTGGGTTGCGCAGTTAAAGGCAAGCTTTAGAGTCTCTACATTCCATTTAACAATTAATCGATTACTAAATTAGCTGATGATTATTTCAACATTTTATTAATAATGATTAATTAAATTAATTGTTTCAGCCCTACGTTCAATAGCAGATTGATTAGGATCCATGTAGATCATTTTGGGGGAATATTCTCTATTTGATGAGTATGCATCACAGCCATTTTTGTCCATCTGAAATACAATTTTGTCCAGACTTAATGCTTATGAGGTGATCATAAGCATAACAAAACCAGCTAAAATCTCAACCTCTTTAAACTAATTTTAAAGCATAAACTATTACATTCATGTTTAAGAGCACATCATAAGTAAACAGCTGCACCGAAATAATGAAAGTTAAGCTTAAATTAATCAGCAGCAACAAATAAATCAGACTTACACACTGCCTAGAGACAATAAAGGGATCTTG